CTCAATATAATTAACATGTCAATTTTTCTTAAATTGATCCAGACATTCAATGCAGTTCCAAAGTTCCAACAGCATTTTTTGTGAAACTTAACAGGCTGTTTCTTATGTATGAGGAAGATTCAAGGCACCCAAACTGCCAAGACATTGCAAAAGCAAAATGTAAAGGGACTTCCCAAAAGAGATATCAAATCTTAATATAAAGCCATAGTAACAATTATGACAATGTAGTAATCAGTGCAAGGTGAGACAAACTGACTGCTGTGTATAGAGAATGGAGATCCCAAAACAAGCCTACTACACATTGCTGATATATGAGAGAGGTGACTTTGCTGATCAGTGGGAAAAGGGAAAACTAGTCACTAAATGATGTTGAGACAACTGGTTATTCACAAGGAAAAGACAAAATGAGATCCCTCCCAAAATTAGACCTCTCATACCATATTAAAAAATCAACTCCAAATGAATGAAAGAATTAACTATGGAAAGCAAAACTTTACAACAACTTTTAAGAGATAATATAGAAAAACTATTTATGACTGGGGTAGGGCAGGATTTCTTTAATAAAACATAAGATGCACTAGTCACAAAAGAAAAGAATTTTAAATTCAACTACAATAAAAAAAAATCAAGGGCTTCCCTGGTGGCGCAGTTGTTGAGAGTCCGCCTGCCATTGCAGGGGACACAGGTTCGTGCCCCGGTCCGGGAAGATCCCACATGCTGTGGAGCAGCTGGGCCCGTAAGCCATGGCCACTGAGCCTGCGCGTCCGGAGCCTGTGCTCCGCAACGGGAGAGGCCACAACAGTGAGAGGCCCGCGTACCGCAAAAAAAAAAAATCAAATCTATTCATTAAACAATACCAACAAAGAAAACAGAAAGAAAAGCCAGAGTGGAAGAAGACATTTACAACACAAAATAGACAAAAGTTAAAAATTCCAAGTGAAAATAAGCAAAAGATATCAATAGCAATTTCAGAGAAGAAACGTGGCCAATACATATATGAAAAGATTCTCAGTTTTATTATCAATTAGGAAAATGTAAATTAAGAGTAGAACTAGAAACTGTTTCACACTTAATAACTGGCAAAACTTTAAAAATCTGACAATACTAAGTAAGTGTTGGGAAGAAGACAGAAAAATGGCAACTGTATTACTTTCAGGAGTATATTTTAGTACAGCTACTTTGTAAAATATTATGGCATTACCTAATAAACCTAAGAATGTATAAGCTTCTTTCTATAACCCAACAATTCCATTCCTAGGAACTCTATCAGGAGACATGTACAAGAATGTTCATGGCTACATTGCTTATAGTAGTCAAAAAAAGGTGGAAACAATCTAAATATCTATAGTAGAATGAATTACAGCATATTCATATAACAGAATACAACACAGCAATGAAACAGATTAACTACAATTACACGAATGCATAAATGTATGAATCATAAATACATAAAGTCAAATAAAACCAAGTCACAGAAAATTACATTCAGTAGGATTCCATTTATATAAAGGTTAAAGCACCCTTAACAGATACATATATAAGCTCAGTATCTGGCACATAGTATGTGCTCATCAATACCTGTTGGATGACCGAAAGAAAACTAACAGAATTTAGGACAGTAATAACCTCTGGGAGAAGTGATGAAGATGTAATCAAGAAAAGGCACACAGGAAACTTAAAAGATACAGGGGATCTACACCAACAAGGTTTGATTATGCCTATTTCCCAATAATCTCACCAACAGTTAGTTTATCAAATTTTTGGAATTCATCCAATCTGATAGGTAAAAATTGAGTATAGTCTCAATTTGCATTGTTATTATTATATAATGTTGATCAACTTTCTAATTTTACAGCCATTTGTAAATCCTCTTATATGAATTATTAATATGCTCTCTAATAGACTGTCTTTTATTTACTGATTTCCAGAAGCTCATTATATAATACAGAAGAAAGTACTTTGCCTCCTATATGAGTGGCAATCGGATTTTTAAATGCATTTTTTAAAAAGGTACTGAGAACGTTAGATAATGGGCGTGTAGTTACTTATTATTTTCTTTAAAATGTTACTCTTTGTATATTATGATATATTTCATGAATTAAAAAGTTTACATAGTAAAAGAATCTTCAACTGCCATGGTCCATTTTATTTTAAGGGAGATAAGTAATTCTTAGAAGGAAGCTAGAAATCTTCACAATTATTGAAGTTCGAAAGTTTTTATTATTTGGGGACATCAATGTTTAATGCCTGAGGACAACTGTTTGGCCCATATGTGAGAGAAAGTATTGCTTTATACCTTAGGACATGAATTCTAAATTATTTAAAAATAACCATATGAGAATTGCTTTCACTTACACCTTTTCTTCCATAAAACTAATACAGTTTGGATTTTTCTTTTAAGTGACTTAAAAGAACATTTCCAACTTCCTGGACTGGCCATGTTTGTAGTTTTTAAATTGGCCTTCTTATCCTAACTCTTCAAATACCCTACCCACCACACATACTCCTCAAGTCTCAAAATAGCATTTCTAAAAATTAACTTGTTGAGCCAGGATGATCAAATTCATTATCAAAATTTCAGTATCTATGTTTCAGAGGAAGACAGGAAATGGAAGAAAGGCACTCCTTTTTCTGGTTTCAAGACAAAATGGAATCTTAGAGGCAATCCATTTTCATTGTTTCTTTTAAATATATCACAGTGCTATTTTAAGTGCTCCACTCTACTCCCTCCCCCTTTTTTTGGGCACAAAGTACCACTATGTGGTTATTAAAACTGATTAAGAAATTATTTCAAGTTTTACCTTCCTAAGAATATAAAGCTACCATTCATTAGGAACATTTTATTCCTTCAATTTCTTCATAAAATCAATCCTGTTTTTACCACCTTAAAGTTTTCAAAGATGGCAGGGAGGGCTCTGGCTTTCTTTCATTTCTAAAAGGTCTCTGCTCTTCTGTACTGATCACCTGAACATAAAATAGCACTGCCAGAAAAACAGATTCTCACAGAAGAGGAAAGCCTGTAGATAGGTATTTATATTGAATTTAAATTGAAGTTTAATGAAAAAGAATTTATCCATAGGCACGGACAAAGCTAAGTTACAGCTGGTAAAGCAGAACTGGTGCCTGATTTGAAAGTCTAAAGTGAGATTTTAACAAATGTGAATCATCAGTAGACAAGGGACACTAGAATCAAAGTCCAACCAAAGACAGTAGTTTGGAAGACTAACATTTTAACTAGTAAAACAAAATGAAGAACCCAGGAGATAAAGGATATTCAGAAAGATTCATTCAGTTGATACTAAGCTAAATTTTCTGAGAACATGTCTCTTTTTTCTTTTTTTTTTGGTATGCGGGCCTGTCACTGTTGTGGCCTCTCCCGTTGCGGAGCACAGGCTCCAGACGCGCAGGCTCAGCGGCCATGGCTCACGGGCCCAGCCACTCCGCGGCACGTGGTATCTTCCCGGACCAGAGCATGAACCTGTGTCCCCTGCATCGGCAGGCGGACTCTCAACCACTGCGCCACCAGGGAAGCCCAGAGAACATGTCTCTATATGAGATAACATGGAATAGAGTTATGAAACAGTAAGATATATAATATTTGCTTTTCCAGGAATGTTATGTGGTATGAAGGGTAAGTCCAACTGGGTTCAATACCAAGGTATTCATTTGTCATTGACATGCTCTCCATCAAGATTAGGAGGAGGAAAACAGCTGTTCTGATTGATGTTGAAAGTAAGAAACAATGGTTATCCTTGGAGACAAAAAATATACAATTTATTATAATCAGTATGAAAAGTGTGAATTCTGAAATCTAAGATTATAAAAATGACAACCATTCCATACTTTTTAATAGGCACAAACAGACCTGCCCCCATTCCAACTCTAGCTGGATGGCTGTTTCAGCTACATTTACAAGAATAAGATTTAGCACACAGAGAATAAGGCGAAATGTCCCAACAGTTAAATTTCAAATGCCTTGGGTTAATCCTCAAGAAAATACTTTAGATAAAAAGTATTCCCCATATGTCTAATTCATACATGATAAAAAGCATCAGTAAATTCCTACAAAGAACCTAAAATCACAAGAGTTAGACCATTCATATAATTATACAACTTACGAAGGGTTAACTGTATAAGGAAGCCTAACACCACTTTTGTCATTTCAACAAATAATGTCAGCAATCTTACCACTCTTATTCAAGCTTCTTTCTTAATGCTCCACTATATGATTTAAGCAAACGCAAACAGAACACGTTCATGAGACTCAGTAGTCTTTGAAGAAGGAAAATAAAACATATGAAAGTGTATACTTTATAAGGCTTTAATGTTCCCTCCTCATTAGCACGGAAAATGTTTAACCAATAGTGTAAATCTGTATTTAGTCCTCTGCATTCAAAATAAACCCTTCTTCTTATGCTATGCTATAAGAGAAAAATATACAAATCTCAGTATTTATGTGATTTGAGTATGACTTTCATTCCAAACTGAGATTATATCATCAGAGGAACATGCATTTTGGATTAATACACTATTTACAATAACTACACTTATTAGACATAGCTCATTTTTACTGTAATGTTTTCCCTCTTATAAACCTAATATGCCAATGCTATCTACTCTATCAAAACCAGACATTCTGGCTGAGGTTAAAATTCATTATGTTACATCACTGTTTTCAATTTTTTTAAAAAAATGGGAAAAAAACTACAGTGCTAAATGTTAATTTAAACTATCTCCTCTAAGAAATTTCAGTAAAATATAAAAACAAAACAAAAAAACTCGAAATTTCCCCCATACAAGTTTGTTAAAATGATGGCAGCTTGTTGAAATCGTGAAGTTCAATTTGATAGAGAAGAACCACTTTTCTTTCAAGAGTAATGTATAGTTACATTCTCGAAATTATACTAAAACCTGCCTAATTGTAACCAAAATGGTCTTTAAAAGGCTAAGAAAACCTCAATGCTGAGTGCTAATGCTATCATTTTTAAAAAATCACTCACCTTTCAAACCTAGAGTTTGTAGCTGGAAGAGCCGACCAAGTTCATAAGGCAAAACCCGTAACAGATTGTTATTTAAAAGCAATTCCCTGTTTTTTTAAAAAAAAAAAAACACAAAAACTGTTTTAGTTTAATATATCAAACTTTATTAATACCTACAGTCGTTGTTCTTAACCTGCCTTCTAACATAACATGAGTGATGTCTACATTCAGGGTATATTTCTCTACATTCATCCAAAAATGTTGTAACTGCCACAATTATTAACAGTGTTTCTGTGATTTACTCATTCTCTAGCACAGATTAAAGTTAAAGGTATAGGAACTGTATGTCATTCTCAGGCTAAATATGCTCCCTTTTCTCTCTCACCCAAAATGCCTCTCAGATGCAAATCAGAGTGACACATATTTTATGTACCCAAAGACAGCAGATATCCTTGAACCTAGTCTCATTCATAGAAAAAAGTAATCTTTTTAAAATAAACTTCAGGATTTAACTATAGTAGCCAATTCCCTGTATCAATTTTTATAACAATACAACTATTATCACTTCAAGATACAACAATCATTGACACAGAACATAAACATTGAAAATAAAGCATAGGATAGTATAAATAGGATAGCACAGGTAAGATCTGATTTATGATTGTGAAATTTTGGGCAGACTACAGAAAAAATAAACAGCCCTTGTAATTAATTAATGGCCAAAAGGTATAAAATAAATGACTAAAAAGTATAAAAAACAACAAAAACACACAGCAAGGGGATGGCAAAGAACAAGATTTTTAAATGATATTAAATATTTAATTTTAAACATGTGATGGCAATTTTTTAACATTACTATTCAGCAGATAAGGTAGAAAAGAGATCCCTGTTTTCATTGGGAACATTTATACAAGGTCTCAAGATTCCTATACAATTTTCTCCTATGAAGAAATTTCTTAAAGAATCCTGAAAGACTAGAAATAAATCCATTTATTATCAGGTTTTAAAATTTCCTTAAGGAGTTGTAATATATAAGCATAACTTGCCTTATAAAATAGATATGTTTCTAAAACCTTTACTTATGAGCAAATCATTTTCCCAATTATTTTTCATTAGTCTAGACTAGTCTAGCCCCAATTAATTCTGATGAGATTTGTCACTTGAGTGTAAAGCGAGACTTAGGTATTTTATAGCCCTATCCCACCTCAAGTCTGTCAAAAGAAATTGGTCATACAAGCACATTTCTAGCCAGAAACCTCCAAATTTAAAGGAAGAAAGGAAAAGAAGGGCTCAATGGAGCCCAACTCAAGCACTCTGCTTAGACAATTTATATCATTTAACCTTCACATACATATGGAAATCCTACTGTAAGATGAGTAACCTTCCACAATATTCTTATTTGGTAAATTTAGAATTTTATACAGTGAGTCACATTTATATTTCCTCACCTGAGAGACACCATGTTTCCTAGTTCTGCTGGTAAACTTCTGAGTTTATTGGATGACAGATCCAGGTAAACCAGATTATGAAGCTTGGCAATATCAGGTGGAATGCGACTAAGGTAATTGTCATTTAGGTGCAGTGCTGTCAAGTGTGTCAATGACCAAAGTGATGTACTTAAGCTCCGCACTCTACCTAAAAGGCAAAATATTGATGCATTAAACTTCTAGGCCCAAGACAAAGACTGAACTACAAGGACTAAAAAGTGGGAGAAGAGCCCACAAATACATACAGATATTGTGACTCTGGCATTTTAACTTTGTATTTAATGCTACTTGATTGCTTCCAAACACACCTGGTCCTTCTTTAATTTCATGCCACTTTTTTCCCTGACAACCATTCTTTCTCATGAATCTTCCATGTATTAAATAAGATGTGGCATAATGAGGAGACCATTGGAGTCAGGGTGATCACATGGTCTCAAGGAGAAAGCATGGGGCTGAATTGAGCTTTTGTAGTAGAACAGTCCTGAATTTTTTTTCTCTAAGTTATGATCCTCACAAAAGCACTTCTCACATACTTCGTGAAAATTAATAGTGCAAGGTTTATCTATATCTAGGGCCTGAATTAGTCCACAAACTTTAAATAGACAGGAGTAATTGCTATGATTTAGAACCAACCTTAGATTAGCCACCGGGAAAACCATTTTACTCCCAAAGGAGACATCTTCCCCAGCCTTCTCATATTTCAATTATACATTAATAACTCTGGTTTAAGATTTTGCATTTAAGTGCAACATACTCAAGGAAATAGTCACTCATTAAGCTTTACCTATCAGTCAGCATCTGACAGCTATGGTAGAACATGTACTGGAAAAAGAAGACTTGGTTCACAGTCCTGATTTTTACCATTTATTAGCCATATAAGCCTAAACAAATCACATCGCTTCAGCTTCTGTAAAATGTGATGTTATCTTAACAATAAACTTATATGAAGAGACTTTGAAAACTTTACCAAAGTAAAATGCTAACAGATATTGATTAAAAGAGCAGTGGAAGGTAGAGACGGCAAAAAGTCTCAATAGGGAAATGTTATTTTTCATATGGCTATCAAGCAGTAGACTCGAACTTAGATCTTCTCTTCAGGGTTCACAGGTTCCTTCATGCTGTCTATAATCAGGCTTAAAGTGCCAATTAGGATTTTGCATTTTAATAGGAAACGAAGTTTTCAAGTGAAAAGAGGCTCTAGTAAAAAAGAAACTTATTTTAGTTTTACCCAGGGTTTAACCGAATGGTTCTCAACCAGGGGCAATACTGCTCCCCAAGAGACTTTAGCAATCTGGAGACATTTTTGGTTGTCAAAACTAGAGGGGTGCTACTGGCATCTAGTGGGTAGAGGCCAGGAATGCTGCTAAACATCCGACACGCACACAACCACTCCCAACCACAAAGAACTGTCCAGCCCTAAGTGTCAATAGTGCCAAGTTGAGAATCCCTGGGTTAACCTAATAGGATTTGCTCATATTCATTTTTTTTTAATTATCAATCACCTAACCACCACCTTTTAGCTAAAGATATGGGTATTTCTTGCTATTGACACCATAATATGCGTTTAACTCTTCCAAATGAAAGCTTACTGGGGAAAAAATTACATTCTAAATATAATCTGTATTGTATCAATTCATAAAAGAAAAACTGTACTTATATTTTATTTTTAATAAACTTTTAAGTTTGTGATAATTTTAGATCTACAGAAAAGCTACCAAGATGATACAGTTCCTATATCCCCCTCATCCAGTTGCCCCTAGTACCAGCATCTTATATTACCATGGTACATTTGTCAAAACTAGGAAACCAAGATTGGTACGTAGTGTCAATATTAACTAATTTATAGACTTTATTTGATTTCACCAGTTTTTACACCCTTTTGTTCGAAGATAACTAATTTATAGACTTTATTTGAATTTCACCAGTTTTTACACCTTTTTGTTCGAGGATCTGGAAGATCATATTTTTTGCATTTAGTCTTCATGTCTCCTTAGTCTTCTCTCATCTGTGACAGTTTCACAGTCTTTCCTTGTTTTTCATGACCTTGACAATTTTGAGGATTACTAGCTAGGAATTTTGTGGAATGTCCTTCGGTTTGTCTGATGTTTTTCTCACTATTAGACTGGTTATGAGTGTTTAGGAATCAGATTCTATTTTAACAACTCCTAAACATGTAATTTATAGAATAAACAGATAGCTTCTAGGTTTCCCATTCTACCAACAATGGGCTGATAGGAGGACGGCAAAGATATCAATTTGCAAAAATGATTACTCTGCAATAGCCAAAACAAAATCTATTATATCAAAGAACCTAGTTTTACTTAGAAACTGAACTCCCAATGCCTTCAATTTTAGATGCCAACTGTGGCCCACAGTATTAATCTCAAAAGAAAGAATGGGAACAAAGATATTTGGTCACAGATAAATCAATAAGTTAAACACTAGTGCCTCAGCATCTTGTATTTTCTCAATTAATTCATCTAATTAAAAATGTACAGCAAAGAAATAAGTATAACACTCAACTCTTGTTCATCATTGCTATTATAGCCCAGATTAAATGTTTCAGATTCCACTCACCCGAGATTTCTAATTCTGCCCAGTGAGATTTTTTCCCATTGGCTACCTCCTCTGCTGACATGATGGTATAAATTCTGCGAGGATCTGGAGGGTCATATTTTTCCTTTGGCATCCCTATTAGTCTGTAAGGGAAAAAAAAAAATCAACAATTATAATCTAATAGAAAAAAAAGAGAGAAAGAAAAATGAGATGGTAAATTTTCTTCTTCTCCCCCCTTGCCAGGCTACTACTAAATTCTCACTAGAAGGAAAACACATCTAAAGTATGCTAGGCTATTGCAGGTACTCAGTAACAGATGCCTCAGGAAAAATGCAAAGAAGCAGGGACACTGGACTTCACAGAAAACATGGTGGTTGCTTCCCAAACATCCATTGCACCCTTTCCCCTTCATTTAGCTGCCTTGCTTCCCAAGACAGACTGACCCTATGCAAGTTTCCTGAATGGACTCTGACTGGCCTAAGAGAATCAGAGTAATCCTATCCTCCTTATCTCAGTGATATTCAGATATTCCATATCTAAGACAATTAGCACATGACATTCCCCTTGTCACAGAGATTAGTTCAGAAATATTTAATAATCACTAGGCTTAAGACTCATTTTATGTTTATGGGAGGAGCAGGCTTCTCTCTCCTGCTGGTCATAAATGAAAAAGAATACAGCCCCAGCTATTGTTGGCAAGCATCCAACTATAAGGAAAGCCAGCCGTAGCAGTCAAAGATGAGAAAATAGAGAAACAAAGCCAGAGTCCTCACCAAACCACACCTGTAGCACTCTAAAATACTGGGCTTTTTGGATACACAAGTCAATCTATTTTACTTATTGTTTAAACTACTAGTTTATGTTTTGTTACTTGCAATCAAAAGCATCTAATTAAGATTATCATGTATCTTGGTTTGCATGGACCAGTCTTGGTTTATATCTGTTATTCTTAGGTTAATTATTGATAACACTTCTTCACTCCCAAAAGTGTCCAATTTGGATAATGAGTTACATGGCCACCCTAACTGAAACTAATATTATACAGTTTTATTCAGTTAACTGCCAAAATAATCACTGAACAATCATCAGTGATGACCAGCTAGACATAAACTCCTCAAGAATGCAATGTATGAATCAGATGACAAATGGCCATAAAAGTAATCATTCAAGAGGTCTAATACAAGAGTTACTGCTCGGTAATTGGCAGAAAATGAAATCCCATTCAGATCTAACAAGAATAGCAAATTACAAAATCCTGAACCTAATTAAACTCCTGCATGCTATCAGTAAATATCCTCATAGTATTTATAGTTGGTTCTTTGCTCATATTTTAACACAGAGACATACAGACACACACGAAAACCAACTGCCTAAAACTGGGAGTGTTTCTAAGTAGTTTAGACGTTCTATCTCAATGTAAGAGTTACTTTCAGATGGTCTGAAATTTGTTACATAAAGAGAACAAAGAAAAATAGGAAGTATTCTATCATGTATCAAGGAATCAAAGCTAGAAAAGAATACAATCAAAATTTCCCATACCATAATTTGTCCTCATATTGCGGAAGGAAAAACAGTCATTCCTTCCTATTTACTAAAAGGGGCAAAGAGAAAGTTTTCCAGATTTTTTCATCTGTTAACAGTCATTAGCTTCCAAATTTCCAGGTTAAGCTCTTCTGCTCTAACCTTATCACACAACTGGGTGATACTGAAACATATTTTATTTTCCATAAATGTCCTGGATCTTCACACAGCACAAACAGTATGATCATTTTCCTCGGGAAAAACTTGATTTTTACCACTTTTGGCCTATGTAAATTATTTCTGAATATAAAATTTTTAGGTAACAAGGTTTTCAGAATTTCTACTATGCACCATAAGGTACATGTGTCTCTGTGGGTACTCCTGCACACTAATATAAGATTCTACAAAAACACAAGTTAAGCAAAACCAAATCAAACAGATTCAGATCCAAAGACATGCTACAAATCCATCATCTACAATGAGAATGGATAAAAAACTAAGACTGTGACATTTGCAAAAACTATGTTTCATTAATTTTAAATCACTTTTATAAAATATAGTGCATAGGTCAACTTAATTTGGCAGTTTTAATCATGGCTCCCACTAGATGGTGTGTTATTTAAGGGGACAATAAGTTGTTTCTGTGTGGAGGCATATCCTTTTTATAACTCTATACAGTTCCTACCACATAGTAGGCACTGAATATGTATTTGTGGAATGATCATATATGCTTTATAGTCCTAAAAACTACCATCTTCCTCTCACCTTTCCCAATTAACAGTCAATGCTCTTCTAAAAATTAATCTCATGAAATGGTCATTAATCCACATGTTCAATTTCCCTAAATATTTACAAAATCTAGATAGGAGATTAATAATCATCACCTCTTCTGGCCCACTAATGCTAATCTCTAAAACAGCTACTATATAAGAAGTATACTTCTTTTTTTAAATTTTTCATAAGTCTCCATCTTTGTAAGTCCAATAAAATTTATAAAATCTGTTCCTGCAAAACATATCCATAAAATGTTTACCAGTGTCTATAATATGTAAAAACCAAAGTAATATTAATACTGCTATATTAGGGGTCAAAGGTCTCCTTTGGATTTGATTAGGAAGTCAATAAAAATACAAGTCACTTAATCCTTCAAAATGAAACTAAATTTGGATAGTCTAACTGAAGTTAAAACATTTTTCATTTGCATTAACTAAGTAATTTAGTAGAGTCTATAGATCTGGTGATCACTACTGTCCCAAACATCAGGTTTTCAAGCATGCTACTAAAAACTTAGCTCAAATTTAGGAAACTGGTATTATTGAATACTCCTATTCAGCTTTATCTTCCCTCTCAGTTCCTCAGCATCAACCTTCCATCCTGGAGACATACCATAAAAACCTATTTCAAAATAAATATAAATAATAATTCAAACGTAATTTACACTGTTAATGTGCTTTCTCAACAGTCTAAGATACAGGTCAGTCCAAGGCTTAAATACTGGATTGACACTTTTCATCCAAGAAAGAGAAATGTTTAATTTTGTAAAGCCTAGCAGCTAATTTCCTTTTCCTATCTTCTTTATCAAATTGATGAAGAGGCAGGTTTTTTAATTGTTTTTTCCAAGAGTTTCTAATTTCTGCCATATCTTACATCAGTTCCTGCTATACACCAAGGATCCTCCCATTATATCAACCTAATTTATATTGGGGATCCTGATCACATAACACAGTAAACTAAAAGCCCCTTCACAACACAGCCTTTTTAACTTCCAGTCTTCAAACCCCATTTTGACACTATGAAAAATACTCCACATAGCTCCCCAAATACTGACTACATAAGCTTCTTTGAACCTACCATCCTCTCTACTCCATTCCTTGAATCTCATTTTATCACCAACGCAGCCCCCTCAGATTCTAGGGCAAAATTTCTGAGAGCAACCATCAGTCCTGGAAAAACAACCTGATTATCTCCTACTTCTTAGTTTCTATGAACTATCCTGAAAGTAAACAAGTCTTAATCTCTGTAACTGAAGGATGATTAATTACTACATACAGTGAAGATTTTCATTAATTTAGTTCTCAGTCTTCTGTATAATTAAGCAAAAACTTCACGTAAACCTGTAAAATACTGACTTCATGGAAAATGTATTCCAATCTTTTTTTAGCTGCAAAGCAACACTGTATGTAACACTAGGGCTACTTTGCCTTAAAAAATTTACCTTGGAGTTTCCAAAACTGTAAATAAAATACAAGATACCTACATAGCATCGTGTTCAGTGAATAGCATGTTACTACATATATATATATATATCTGAGTTACGCCCAAATACACTATTGCCAAGGATTCCCAAATCTCAGGTTTTATATCTGGGGCTAGGAAAATAATGCAAAATAACTCCTCCCTGCCCCATCCCCGAATAATAATAATCTGAGCCAAATCAGAGAAAACTGTTAAAGGCCAGAACTAAACTTCTGCTAATTTTGGTCATCTGAAGCATCTTATTAAAAAAACAGCGGGCTCTATGGTACATATAAAGATGTTAAGTCCTTATGGTGTTAAACCACAGCTTTCCTCCCACCACCTTCTCTAAATTTAAGATCATTTTATCTCAGTCTATAGTTCAGCACAATTAATACTATTTCATTTAGAACTTAGAATAAGAAAGAGAATGCTACAACCACCGAATAGTGCTTCATAACGAACCAGAGACTCCTAACTCAATGAATCCAAACCTAAAGTACAAGCCAGTAGACATGCACTTATACCCATAGAAATATTAAGTGATCGTCTCAACAGTAGTTTGCAAAGCAATCTTAGGCAGAGATGCAGAGTTCCCAAAGTTGAAAGAAGACAAAATTAAGCCTACATTAGATATTTCTGCTTCCATTTTGGAGCAAGATGTAGTGACTTATTACACTTTACATATTCTCAGATAAATCTGTCTTCTATCAGCATTTATTTCCAAAGGTTATGAACACATTGTTTGTTATTTATTGAATACCCACCTTGACTAACATCCATCCTTCCCAACTGCTCTTAAACATTAAGACCATTTTCCCTTCTGAGAAAATGTCTAAGTTTACCTTTTTTAATAAAGCAAACTAACCCTTGCACTACAGCATTTCTGAAGTTTCTATTTCCTCATCAATATCTATTTTTAGCTATACACAAGTATTAATCATTACAACTGTCATACAAAATCTATACCTTCCCTAAATGAGCTCAAGAGCTGATACTAAAAAACAGCACCTAGCAAATCACACTGCATATAGTAGAATCATACTGATAAAGATTGATGGCAATCACAAGAGCTGAGAAGACACCCTGAGATAAATAACAATTTCATCCACATTTCCACTCCTCTTCTATACCAAGGGCCTCTGGATAGTATTTGTCTTCAATGACATATTCAACTCAAGTCCGTAGACGATGACAATGCAAACGTTCAGAAAGAATCCATTCAAAGTTTTCATGATATCTCCCAATCTGTCACCATTCTAAACAAAAACAAAGCAAAATAAAATCTGTGTTTTACAATGGTAAAGCCACCCATCATTATGGAAAAAATAACCTTCAGGCTTCTGGAATTTCATGTTTCTGATCAGTTTAACATTTATTCAAACAT